TTGTTTTTGGTATCTTGCATGCAGCACTGCCGTGTTTCTCACAAACCGGTGTGTAACGGCTGCTCTTGAAGGAGGGAAGACTCCCTTTGAAATGTGGAACTTTTGAAAACCTTCAATCAATCACCTTTGTGTATTTGGGTGCCAGGCTTTTGGACTGATTCGAAAAGAATTACGACAATCCAAGTTTTCACCTGTAAGCTCAGAAGGAGTACTCGTCGGTTTTGATAATGACAACTTTAATTATCAAATTTTTGACTTATCTTCAAGAAAAGTTTATTTAACTCATCACGCAACTTTTAACAAGGATGTGTTTCCCTTTAAGTCATCTGCTTCCGAAGTTTCATCAGTACCTTTAGAACCTGATAGAAAATCTGTGAAGGTTCGCTTCTTCGATGATGACGGTGATTTTGGAGAAGTTGTTCCATCTATTTTACCTACAATCAAATCCAATGACAGTGCCACTGTGGATTCAGATCATCAAGACGTACCTCCAGAGATTGTTCCTTTGGCGAAAACGTCTGACGAAGCTCCACATCGTTCAACTCGGTCGGCGAAGAAACTTCATGATTCTCTTCGGGGAATGTGCACTTCTGGAGCTGAATATGAATTTGATTTCATTACTGAATCTTTTTTTGCTTGTCTACCGCCTGAATGTCATCTAGTCAACTTGATATCAAATCCAGATCCCAAATCTTATAAACGAGCTATGGCTTCCGCAGATGCCGATCGTTGGAAAGCCGCGTGTGACAAGGAGTTTGCTTCCTTGAAGGAGAAAGATGTCTATATCTTGGTTGATCCTCCAACTGATTGTCATGTAATCAGGGGGTTATGGGTATTCAGGAAGAAGCCTCTTGTCAATGGTGGTGTGAAGTTCAAGGCATGTTTTGTGGCTATGGGCAATACCCAGATTCCAGGCCAGGATTACGGTGAAACATTTGCTCCAACTGGTAAACCTGGTTCCTTGCGTCTTTTGGTGGCCATCGCAGCAATTCATGGGTGGGAGATCCATCAGATGGATGCGGTAACAGCGTTTCTTAACGGTTTCCTGGAAGAAGAACTTTATGTCGAAATCCCTGAAGGGTACAGAACCGCTTTGTCTATCGGTAAAGTATGGAGGATGAAGAAATATCTCTATGGTTTCAAGCAGTCGCCTAAAATCTGGCAAGATGATGTGGAGGGATTCCTTATTGAAATCGGATTTCAGCAATGCGAAATCGATCATTGCATTTATATCCGTGCGAAAGGTGATTGTTTTACTGCAGTGTATGTGCACGTTGATGATTTAGCGATCACGGGAAATGATATTTCAAAATTCAAAGTCGAGATTTTGGCCAAGTGGGAGATGGAGGATCTCGGAATTGCTCACACGGTTGTAGGAATTCAAATTCAGCGAATTGATGACTTGACTTATTCGATGTCTCAGCAGCAATACGCCTCAACAGTTCTTCAAAGATTCAATATGACTAATGCAAAACCAGCAGTAACTCCACTTTCACCAAACGTGAAGCTACTTAAGGCTACTGAAGACGAAGCTCAGGAGTTTGCCAAGACAAAACTTCCTTACAGAAGTGTAGTAGGCTCTTTAATGTATCTTGCCCAATGCACACGTCCAGACATGGCTCATGCAGGCGGTGTCTTGTCACAACCTTTGGAAAGTCCAGGTCAAATTCATTGGGACTCGGCAATTCATGTTCTGAGGTACTTGGCTCACACAATCAATGTTGGCATAGTGTACTCTGGAAAGACTCAGGTGGTTGTGACTGGACAAAGGAGTTTTGAGTGTCCCATTTCTCATTGCGACGCTGATTGGGCTGGTGATGTCAATACTAGGCGTTCGACGACTGGTTACGTGTTTGTTTTAGCAGGGGGACCAATCTCTTGGAGGAGCCGTCTTCAACCAACAGTTGCGCTTTCGTCAACGGAGGCAGAGTATAGGGCTATCACTGAATCCTGTCAAGAGTTGTTGTGGTTGAGGAATATGATGGCAAAGTTTGGTTTCAAAGATCCTAATCCTACGGTGCTTCAATCTGATAACTTAGGGGCTATTCACTTAACTTCAAAGTCAGTCTTTCATGCTAGAACTAAGCATATTGAAATTCACCATCATTGGATACGTGAGGTTGTGAATAAAGGTGATGTGGTCTTAAAGCATTGTCCAACACATCTGATGGTTGCAGATCTCTTAACTAAGCAGTTGCCTAAAGAACAATTCTCAACGTTAAGGAAAAGTTTGGGTTTGAGGTTTTTGGGTTAATTCGCTTTGAGGGGGTGTGTTACGATATTATCTTGTGAAGTGTTCAAAGATAATTAATCCATCTTGTGGTTTGTGTAGAGGTGTAGGTTGAGGTTGTGTTAGCAGGAATAGTGGTTGCTTAATTAGGAAGGAGATGTGGTTAGTAGATTGAGAATTTAATCAAGGGGTGATTTGGAAGTCTGAAGCAAGGGGTATTGGGAAAATCTTTTTGGGTGTTCTTGTGTCTTTTGAAATTTGTCTTTCCCTCTTTTTCCGATTCTTTTCGTGTCGAAAAGAATCAGTGAGTTTTTCATCTAATTGCTATCATTAACTTTTTCTCTTTTAAATCTTACTAACTAACTTGTTATCAAACTTAGATATACTTTATTTTTATCTGTTCTTAACCTCTTAACCTTCCTCTTTACGCGTGCTCTTCTTGAATCCTTCGAGCAACGCAGGTAGATAAATTTCTGTTCATTGTGATAAAGACACGTTATCTAATATCTTTTTCACTTCCTTTATCATTTTCTGTGTTGTGTGTGACGTTGTTAGGTTAGTTTTCTTGTTCTCGACGTAGACTGCTTTAGAAGCTATAGTCTTACTCGGAACCTGTTGCCCTCAGGTTAGTGGTGTCAAAAAGAATCAATATACTTTATTTTTATCTGTTCTTAACCTCTTAACCCTCCTCTTTACGCGTGCTCTTCTCGAATCCTTCGAGCAACACAGGTTAGTTTTCTTGTTCTCGACGTAGACTGCTTTAGAAGCTATAGTCTTACTCGGAACCTGTTGCCCTCAGGTGTCCTTTCATACTATACGTGTCTTTCTTGTAGAAAATCCATCACTCGAGATTCATCTGAATTACGAGTTGAATTCTTTGTCGAGAAACTCTTTAATTACTGCTTATAAAGTATTCAGCACACCTGTACTTTGCAGAAAAGATTTTGTGATTGAACACTGTATTGACACACATTACTAGGATTGCTTAAGCCACCAAGTTCATAGAGTGTGTTTGAATAAGATAGTTTGACTCTTCATGTTCTTCTTCTTCTGATGCATGGAAGTCTAAGATAAGTCTGGGACTTGTGGTTTGATGGATGATATCTGTAGTCCAAGCCAAAAAGCTGGCAACATCATCATATTCTATTTCCATATTAGGTAAGAGGAATGTTGATGGTGGGCTGTGCAAACACTGCAGCAAGCCTCGTTGACTTCTGTGGAATCGCAGAACATGGATCATGAGAAATCACAAAATCAACATAAGGAAGAATAGTCCTACTGTTTCAAATATGTTTTGCTTCCTGAAGTTCCAACGGTTTGAGTGCAGGCTTCATGTGTTGTATAATCATCATCCAGAGTTTGTGCACCACATGTTTGAAGCAAATGTGAGTCTTTCATCCAGGACACATGATGAAAAATTGGGGATTAAACAATGTGCATGTCCAATGTGCATGTTGCTTTTTTGTCATCAACATTCTCAACAAACTCTGCATGTGTCTCCACATCTACTTCTTCATATTATGGAACTTTTGCCTTTAAATCTGGTAGATCCTTGTGTCCTGGGGTGTTTCCACAGTTCTGATTGGACTCTGCAGCTTGCGCTGGAAAGAGATTCAGGGTCACCTTATTTCCAACATTCTGAATATATATATCTTTTGAGGATGAATGTGATACCTTAGATGATGAGTTCAATGTTTTTTGTGGAATTTATGGTGGGGATGTGTTCTGAAGTTGAGCCTTCAATTGATTCTTTTTTATACCTGGTTGTATTCAATGTACTGAGTGAAAGCCTTGAAATTTTGCTTTAACGACCATTTCTTCACAGACCGTCATTATTCTATCTCTGCATTTCCATCAACCATGTGGTCAAGATGGGTGGTGTCTTGATTTTTTACAATGTGGCATTTCCACGAAAGAGAGTTTTGAGCATGATCTATGCCTTGAAATTCTGGGACATTGGATGTTTCCTTGTGGTTGTTGATGACAAGCCCTTGTTGATCAGTGTCCTTGGATGGAAGTTCTAAAATTTGAGACACAGGGTGAGTGTCAGCCTGAGACTTAAAACAGGTGGCTTTAAGAGAATCAAAGCTGAATGATGTTGCTTGAAGCTTCTTTATTGGCTTCGTTACAGTAGGTTTACTGAGGTAAATTTGAGCCTTTATATAACAGGAGCTGGCAACTCCATGTTGTCTTGGTGCGGAATGGCTACTGCTGCCTGATACTGGCTGAAATGTCTGTTCCGATCAGGGTCTTCTGAGGTAGGTACAAAAGTACTCCTGTCTCAGTTATACACAGTCTAGTTTCTATGTATTAATAAAGAGACATCTTTATTAATAACAATCGTTGAAACATCTTGGACAATGGAAGTTAATCTAAATTTCTAGTTTCTACATATTGAAAAAGAGATGTCTTTATCAATAATGATCTTTGAAAACATCTTGGACATTGAAGAGTTAATCTAAAATTAAGAACGCTGAGTCTTATTTCAATAACATACTGCTTGAGAAAGAAATAAACAATAACAATACTAAATTTCAAAAGTCAGATAAGAAAGATCAAACATATAAAAGAAAAATTGCTCGATACGAAAAAAAGCTGCCGTCGCAAATTGACGGCGTCATCGTTCCCAGCGCTGCGTCCATCTGCCACTACTGTGCAGCGCCAGGGCGCGGCAAATCTAGAATCCGCACGCTTTGTGCCGTACAATGTTTCTGCCCCTACCGTGGTGTCATCAACTTCCTCTCAGGGAGACATTTGTTAGCCTCTCAGTATGTACCAAGCAAAATCGCTGTCGTCAAGCGTCAGTGGGATTGTTACCGGAGCCGCGCTTACAATTCACAGGCCACAGTCATCAGCGTGGTATAGATGGTTTGAAGTGGTTGAGCGCGCTTTTTTGTCACCAACATCGAAGGAGGTCTTATCAAATTTGACTACTCGGAATGACAAGGGCCCTGCATCATCAATCGCACAAGAACTGCCGCAGAATGACACTGTTGCCATCCCAGGCAAGGAAACTTCCTCTAATGCACTTCCTGGATGTCGTCGAATACAATACATGGAGCAGTCTGGACTGTATGCTCGGTCTCAATGTCATAGGGCCTTCAGTGGCTCAAGTGATGCAACAAATCATCTTGAGACGCGATCAGATTCCCTCAACAAGTCTCATTGTTTGATGCTCGATCCACGATACCAAATTCTGACTCAAGCACCAGATTTCATCCAGTCACTGTTTGTTTCTTCTGATCCAGTCACCGTACCTATGATGTTTCGCCCTCCAAATGATGTAAGTAGACTTCAGGCGAGCCAGCAGACCCAACCTAGCGAACTCAACACCTCACAGAAGATCAATGGTGCATCCACAGGATCGAATACCAAAAGCTATCCTGCCAATGTCGCGTCTGGGAACGGCTTGGTGGAAAACCTTTCAACTCAGCAATAGATTGATTCTTACCATCATTGTACAATCAAAATTTCGAAATTCCTTGGTGATTCAACCGATTATTGTGACAGGCTCTTGGAGGTCCGAGACGGTTGTTGGGCGTGGATAAACGTAGAAGGGATCTGTGGGCGATTGTGAAAGTGTGCACAAATGGCTGTGACAAGATATGTAACAGCCAGAACTCATATCACTACACAAAATCTAATGCATTCCGGACAGATTTCTAAAATCTTCTTAATACAAAAATGTAGATTACAAATTACACAAATACTTTCAATACCAAAATATTCCACGTAGAGATGAGTTATAACAAGATTGTCAAGTGAGACATATCAAGTTGATTGACTTGAGTATCAAATAATCTGGCCACATATCCAGATTTCCAAAGATTTTTCCAAGGTTTCATAAACAATCATGTTAGAAAAATATTCCGGGGATTTTGAAAGTGATATCATTTCATAATGTCGGCTAGTGGTGAACAATTGGACTCATTATCTAGATCCACGTATTCAGCAATAGCAGTGTGAAGAATAGATTGCATAATTAATCTATTGTGTAGCTTATAAGGAGCTACACAACAGCATGTGTAACACAATTCAATTTCACTCAAAAAATAAACCACAAGGTTCCGCGGTGATTTTCTGAAATGATCGACCAACTTCTAGATCTATCAGATGAGTACGACACACTTTCCTCTCTGGTGTTTTCCCCCACCAGCATTGTTCTGGTTGTCATCATCCGACACTCAACTCATCAAATCAATGAGAACCATTTAGGTACGTATCTGATATTTCGCATTCAGAATCCTGCAGGTCAGATCCTATAGTGTATCACCATTCAGAAGATTTTTTTCAGGAGACTTTGCAAGTTGGATGACAATCAGGCCGTCTCGAGATTCTCATGCTTCAAGAAGTTCTTTTAATGTATGTACTGATCTCCCTCTCTTCTCTTTCATATCAATCTACTGATCTGATACCTCATCGATCTTTCCTCCTCCCTTTTGAGATCAAATCTAGGCGCGTGCACCTGGTTGCTTCTAAGTTTAACATCATTCGACCTCCCTCGTTCTTAATCATTTGACGTATTCATGGCTGAAATCTTCGACCCCAGCGCTCCAGGTGTCAACAGGCAGATGCTGATTGATTGGATGCATATTAATCATCCCATGACACCATTGAGACCAAGAATTGGCATGGACAAACTTGTGGACAAGGTGCGAAGGGCGCAGCCTCAGTGTGAGCTTTCGATCTTATTCTTCATGCTAGTAATTATCAGATCTTATTGATCACTTATATGACTCGATTTCATCTTTTGCTATTATTCTACCAGTTTTCCCGAATCTCACTAGTCATGTGGCTGCTCCGGTGACACTTGGTACTGCGAACGAACCCATGGCTGACACATCAAGACCCAAAATCAGTGCTCAATTACACATCAGCAACACAAAGCCGACTACCATCTCTACAATCGAAACTGCCCAGTATCATCACCCCAAAATACAAACCCTTCATGAGACCCTGATCAAGGACTCGAAACCTGTCCCTTCATTGCCGTCTTTTGTTCGAAAGCGTGCTGTGGCTTTCGACACCGGAAGTGAAGATGGAGCTAGTGTAAAGCAAGTCAAAACTGGAGGTATGTATGTTGTGAGCTCAACATATCCTTACAACCTTATAACTAAGCATGTATCTTTCTCAGAATCTAAGGTATCACGCGTGCGCAAGAGCAGTGCTACACATTCCAAAAAAAAGTAGGTCATCTTTCTACTTCAGACATCTTCATGATGATTATCTGGACTACTGAACCTTTCCAATACTTCCCAGCTTTCTTCAAAGCCTTCTGAGATAGACAAAGGTCCATCTCACTCGACTCAAAGTGAAATAAGCAGAACTGAAGCCGTCAAGCTTGAGGAATCCAAAGATACGTCCATCACGGTGCCAAATCTAGAACCTTCGATGTCAAGCACTGTTTCAAGTGGCCCCATGAAAATCAAACATAAAATCCGTATCCCGGCTAAGCCTGAACTCACTAGGACCAATGAGGTCATGGACCTAATCGACTTTTCGGACACGGATATTTTGGACACCGGAAATTTAGGTGAGAACATTCTATTTATAATGTACCTCAAGGCTTCTGATTGATTGATTGATACCCTTCTTACTTTGGCAGTGATAGGTAAAGATATTTCACCAATATCTTTTGACACATCAACGAAAACTGCAACTGCAGTCAAAAACACTACAAAGTCTGGAGTTGAAGTCTTTTTAGAAGAAAGAAGCCGTGAAGAACGTAGTGAGTTTGTTTTTGAATAAGACCGCATATTTATAAGTTGGGATTTGACTCTAATATTCGTTCATGTCTGTATAGTCTTTGCACTTGAAGGCTCTACAGCGCAGATGGCAGAGAAGATTGAAATGAATTCTGTGACCTTGTTTCAGCACAGCATGCGACTAGAGGAGAATGGTACAGTAGATTTCAAAAGTCTTGAAATCCACTCGTTTTCAAAATCGAGAGATGGTCCGTGCGCCCGGCAGTATAGTTGAGATTAATTGTGACATCTGTCAAACTTACATGCCAGATCTCATATTTATACATATATATTCCTAAGGTGTGGTCGTACTGATAGCAAAGAATACGAGACGATTCAAAAGCGCTGTGACGCAGCGGCATGAGGGTCTGTTCTCATTACAATAAAGCTCGCCACCAGGCCAACTACCCAAGTTCGAGTCTGCTTTTGTCTCTAACTATTAATTGAATTTTTTTACAAGTCCTTTTTTGCTCGTTGAGGTAGGACAAAATGATGAGAATAAGACGGAGGTGTTGATTGTTTTGTCCATGGTTGGGTGCTATTGGTCATTAATGACTTGACGAAAAAAATCACGGGTGACAAAAGAGAAGAGCGAGTCGAACACTGACTCCGCTGAACCCAACGTGGCAAGGCTTTACCGCAGCTCGTTACCACTTGGACACCAATAGTTGATGGAGAAGAAGGAATCATAGAATCGATCATCGATTTTTTGAAGTTAAGCATCTGCATATTGTTGGATGTGGCGTGTAAGTTTGACAGATGTCACAATTAATCTCAACTATACTGCCGGGCGCACGGACCATCTCTCAATTTTGAAAACGAGTGGATTTCAAGACTTTTGAAATCTACTGTATGTCAATGCACAATCTCAGATCTCGTGTGCCTCAAGTTTCTGACAGATTTGTACCAGATCATTCGATCTCCCACCTAAAGACTAATGTAAATCGCCTGGATGGAGGCATTTCAGCTTTTTCTACCCTGGAAGCCAAATTTGAGACCTTGCAAAATCAAGTGCTTGATTTGCGTAGACAGCTAGAAGTTGCAAAAGAAGATATCTCCACGCACGAGGATGTAATTGCACGCCTGATGGAGCAGGATGAAACAGAAGGAAGCTCTGACGCCTAGAGTTCTGATGCGGCTCAAAATGGAAAGTATTGTTTTATAATATTGTGGTTTCGGGTCCTATGACTTTATATATTGTACAAGCTGTTTCCTGTGATCAATACAATATAAATTTTTCCCTTGCGTATCTGTCTATTTATAGTTTTGTTCCTGCATTTACTCCTGAGGAGACGGGCGTGACCACAATTGATCCAGTAGTGACATTGCGAACATGGTAAAACTTTTGTGGAAGTAATTATACCTACAATATATTTCAAAAATCTCGAGTTTGCAAGCTGGCCTAGTAATTGAGAACTTCACTAGGCTTATAAAGTATATATACTACTTTTCCAAGCACTTGTAGTACATGAGACAGCCCAAGTCCAGGACGGTGACTTGTAGAATTTATCTGTTGCAAGCAATATAAGTTGGAGGTATCTAGTACCTCAGTTTCAATATTCTCCTAACAAGTCAATCTTGATTTGAATGACTTGGATAGAGCAAGAAGTTGATACGAAACACACATAATTCGCCTTAATCCGAGTTAACTTTGGAGATCTACATTCTCTCATTTTAATCATAACACTAAAGGCACAACCCAGTTTCTCGGCGAAACTGGATTAAACCCCTAAGGCCTTAACAAGTGGTACACCTTAAGTCCCAAAATTTGTGCCTCCAGCTTCTCAGCTGTCTCCCTTGGTCACTCCCTTCAGACGTAGGCCAACCTCTCTCTCCTCGGACACCTCCTCTGCTAGCTCCTGATTTTTGTAAACCCTTTCACCTTCATCTTACAGTTACTTGACACTCCGCATCAATATCCAACCCAGCTCCAACAACTCACGGCATTTTGGTTTTGACTCAATGCCACAACGTTATTGTACCACAAACCGAGGACCTTTGCTTTACAGCGTAGACTCCTGACTTCCGTTCTCCAACGCTATTGTATCACCAATCAATGAGTTGCTCATAAACCTGTATACTTTTACAAAGGGCACACGTCAGCTACTCAAGAAATCTATGTCAGAAACCAATTGCTTTTGACCAGTCAACTTGAACAATGCTTACAAAACAAAAACAGGACAACATCATCTCTTCACTACTGGAATCTCTCTAGGTTGTGAGTCGGGTCTTGATCTTCTCTTTCTTCATCAATATCCAACAAAGACATACTACACTAACTATCAATGGCAATCATTATTCTAAATGATCAGATCAGCTACTCATCATTATTCATTACTCTCAACTTTCAATCCGAAGATCAAGATGGATGTTAAGATTACATGATTAAGGCTGGACTGCGAGTTTCACTTCAATCTAAGTTTAATCAAAAAGGGGTTCAACCTTGACTTAGTCGCAGTATTTGGATCACAATCAAGTGGAAGGAGTGAGTCTTACTCACATACCATTCTGATCGACCTATCTCATTCTGAAAATTAGGTCTAATAGTTCACTGTTGATCGCCAAGGTACCCTGTTGAACCAAGAATTTGGTACTCCAATGGATGAGGGTGATTGGGAATTAACATACTTTAATTTTTGAATATGGAAGAACCCATGAACTAAAAAATTTCGATCATGTGTTTCCTTTTTATGAATCCAGAAGACGTAACTTCATCTATCAAATTCCATCCGACAAAACCCAACTTATTAATCAAATTCCATCCGACAAAACCCAACTTATTAATCACATCATCATGGGATAAAACGGTTCAACTATCTACTTCAGAAACAGATAATCCAACAGATCCTATCAACATCTATCCACATCCATCACCTATATCAGACATAAGTTTTGGTTTGGTAAAAATGAAGGAAACACATTCACTGGTAGTCTCGATCAAGGCACAAGAGAAATCAATTTAGAAACTAATAGTTTTACAAGTAATGTTGGAAACAATACTAGACCTAATAGAATGATTTCGACTCATCAAGATGCAGTGAAATGTGTACATTATTCAACTCAATATGATCGATTGATTACAGGACAATGGGATCGATCAGTTATACTACAAAACCCTTGATTGTTTTCTTTCTCTTCTTCTAACAAACCATTCTCTTCTAATTCTTCTCTCAGTTTAGTTTTACCTAACTTACCTTCAAAAGTTTATTCTTTAGATACTTTTGAAAATGAATTGGTAGTAGCTATGGGGAGTTATAGGAAGATATGGATTTGAGATTCGTGAAAATTAAATGAAGTGGTAGAAAAAAAGCGAATCTTCTCCAAAGTTTATGACTAGAGCGATTAGATGTATGTCAAATGGTCAAGGTGAGTCTATTAATTCATCTCTTTGATACTCCACAGTCAAGAAGATTCGTCTATCATTTCTGATTTGGTTATTTTTCACACAGGTTATACTTCTACTTCATTTGAAGGAAGAGTTGCAGTTGAATTGTTTGATACTTCAACTGAAGTTCAATCCGAGAAATGCACATTTAAATGTCATTGGCAAACAATTGATAAATTTGATATAATTTATCCTGTTAATGTATTAGTATTTCATCCTCAGTAGGCAATCAATCAGTACCTGCTTATAAATCAACTTCTTTCCTTCTTTCTCTCTTTTTGACTTAATGATTTTTCTTCTTTTTTCTTTAAATGAAACGTTTTTCAAAGTTTTGGAACATTTGCTACAGGTGATGGTGATTCAATGGTTTCATTTTGGAATTCAGCAGCAAAAAGAGCACTAAGACAATTACCTAAATATTGAGTTTCAATTACAAGTTTAGCATCTAATTGTGTTGGAACTAAATAAGCTATCGTTGTTCTTTAAAAGAAGAAGAAGGTACAGTACCACATAAACCAGATGGAAATGTAAATCAATCAGATGACTCTGCTACGGCTAATCTTCTTAGGAATGCAAGCTTTATTAGAAGTGTTGTGGATGATTGAAGCGAGTTCACTTGGTTCTCCTTTTTTTTCTCTTGTATAATATCTTCAACTGTTACAAAGGTTGTTTATACAAATGGAATATGAATTATCTTGATAGTTAAAAATGAAATGCGAAAAGCTTGATTGATTACTGCAATATCAATCATATAACCTCAAATCATACTTCAGTCTGCTCATTTGCATGAGATTCTTCCCTGGGTACATTTTGGATTAGGATCATCCAATACTCAACTGACATACAAATCAACTTGATCATATATGGATATATGAAATCATTCTACCACAGTTTTAGCTGTACAGACACCACTCAAACCACTCCAAAACGCTATGGATTTCTCCGCTCTGCAATCACTATTTATGAAAAAAAGTCTTGCAAAGTTTCGGAGCGGAGAAATCAAAATTGCTATATTTTGTGCTATATTGCAAGATTTTGCGCTATATTGCAATATTTTGCACCCAAAGCCCCAACCCATTTGTTTTGGTTGCTCCGCTATGGAGATCCTTGCGTTTTGGCATTGGTGCGGAGGCTCTGCTATGAGTTGCGGAGGTCATAGCGGACCACCAAGCCGCTCCAAAACCGCTATTTGGAGCGGAGCGGTTTGGGTATTGGTACAGATGAAGAGAATGAGAGGACAATTATAGTCAAACCTCTGAAATCCAGTGGGCTTGGTGGACGCCTTTTTGACCAAATAGCAGAGGTTACCAGATCTTAGAGTCAAGCTCCCTGCTAAAAACCCAACTTGGTGGACCAAAATTTGACCGCATATCAGAGGTTATTGGATTTTTGAGGACCGGATTTCAGAGGTTTGAATGTAGTTTATGACAAAAAAAGCATGGATTGTGCTGCAAAATAAGGTAGACAAGCAGATAGCCAATACAGCTCTCTTGGTCCAACTCAAACTAGCAATCAAAGGGCAGTTCCGTCATGATGAGATGCAGTACCAAAAGTACTGTCAGGAAACCGGAAGTTGATTTTGACGCAGGATTCCAAAGTGCAAAAGATGGTGTCAGTAAAATATCCTATATCTAGATTTTCTATGAGATCTTCTCATTAAATTCTATTCTACTTCGTTTCTCTAGACATCAGCTCTAATTCCTCTATGGGTCAAATTGACCACATTCTTGGCTGTTAATACTTATATGCACCATGTTTGTATTCTTGTAGCACGTCGACATGCACAAACAAAAGACTTTTTTTAGACCCTCAAAAGACCCATCAAGAAGGTTCCCCAACAGGTACAACTTCCCCTTATCAACTGGGACATTCAAAGTCAGTTGAACCCAACTGATGACAAAGGATTTTCAACAAATCCTATGACCAAATCATTGTTCACAAAGGGTACTTGACAAAAACCTCAGTTTAAATTCAACCAAAAGACTTTCAGATTGGTTTCAAAACTCTCTGTGTGTGCACGTCAACGTGGTACAAGGCCATTTACATGGTGATGGTTTCAAGATGTATATAAAATTTCTTCCTTCATCTTTTTTCTTCTTGAAGATCTTCAGCTGGCTAATGTCCATTCTTTTTGTCGAATATAGCAAGGAGGATGGCTGCTGGCAAAGGAAAAAAAGCTTTCTGTGCTTTGTCTTGTGGTCACTTCCTCTATTCTTCTTAGCTTCTGATTTTTCTCTTTTTGTGCTTTGCTCTTATGGAAGATTTTAGCTGATTATATACACAAAAAACAAATTTATTATTGACAAATGTATTTGTTTTTCTTTGAAATTAGTGACTTTTAGCAATATTGATATTGATCTCAAAGCCGCTTGGTCACAATTGAACTGTCCCTTTTTCAACCTCTTGACTCAAATGAACTTTGAGGCCTCAATCAAAACAAACTCGGGTTGCTTTTGTTCAGAATAGTCAATGGCTACTCATTGTGTATCACATCAACTTCTAAACTCATTCAGCATCTGTCTGTGTGTCCGTCAAGACTTCAGGAACGTTACTTACTTGAACTATCTTCAACAATCAATGTTATATCAAGTTGTAAATATGTAGTCATTTTAGTTATATAATATCAGTGAGGGCTTGTTAAGTAGACAAGACCCTACAAGAAGAAACACATCAATTGCTCTTCAAATTGATTATCTAATTATTCAGGAATGAATGATGATTGGATTGAACTACATAAAACATCAATTGCTCAAAAAAAAATCAAAAAAAACTTCACCCACACTTGATGGACTTATCTAATTTACTATCAAAATGTATCATATGCTGATCTCCAAAAAGATTGGATAAATTGATAGCTCAATATGAACCAAGCATCCTGAAAGTTACTCACATATGTTAATACATGCTTGGATGATCAACTCTTCCAGCCACTGAGCTCAAAATTTCCAGTCAGCCCAAATCCCAGAATAATTCATGAACCACAAGTTGAAACTTGATGGGAGAATGTCTTAGCCTCATGCCACAAGTTTTTTCAAAGGTTAGTAAATATTATTTTCATCTACAATCAACTTCAGCACCCAAAACCAATATATATGAGTTTGTTTTCTTGGGAAATCAGTTTGTTTTTCCTCAGAACCATTTGTTAGAACCCAAGTTTAATTGAATTATCATCATCACCCACCCATTTGGTTCAATCAACACTTGTCACACTCACCAAACAAAGCACAACCGATTATCCCTAAGTTTCTTTTCAGACTTTTGGTCAAAAATCTCAAATTCTGACAAACTTTATTTCATTCTGTTAATCACATTTGTGTTTGATGGTTGGAAACCGCAAGACCAAACAGAAAATACAGTGCAAAGTGGCAGGCAGCATATTCTAGAGTCTTTTCAAAGGATGAAATATTAGCTAGCATTTAATTGTGGAAATGTAAGTTTATTGCTAGAAGCCAAGAAGCCATCCTATTTGGAGTGCATTCCCTCCATGTCATTACCTTCAGATTCAACCTAGAATTCAATCAAAATGCAACTTATATTCACATGAAAGAAACATGTAGTAACCAGAGATCAGTGAAAAGCTCAAGGCAATCATGGGTCAGTGTGTTCATCTCATCTCACATCTAACCAAAGCAATGTGGATTGCCACATTCCCAGTTTTTGTTTCTTTTCAGAATCTGTTTGTGTGCACATGGGTTCCAATAGTTAGGAGATACTGTAGCAATATAGTTAGTTCAACAAATAGGATGCAAATTCTAGAGGATAATAAGAAATCAATCAGTAGAGGATCCGGTTGGAGAACCTGGAATCTGATCAAGTTGTGCATCCATTGAGACATCACCACCAACATTGTTACCTTGGGTGAAGGAATCCATATCAATGGATGCAAAACCTTGGCCAGACCTTGTCCAAGGTTTTTGTTCAAGGTATTTTTTGCATTACAAAAGACATCAGATCAAAACCTTTGGATGATTTTGCCGTCCAAGGTTTCAGATCCTAGATCTCCTCAGTTTTCTCAATTTGTGGGAAACAAATTGGCTATGCATACCCTGTATCCATGATTCTGAGATCAACCCTTGGCTGTATCTTCATTTTGTTTCTTATTGGATGATGTTATCATAAATGTTTATGCAAAATTGATGCATTCATAAAGATTAATGTCACAGATCATATTATATCATGTCATCATGATACAAGTTAGCAGCAATCTTGGTTAGCCCAAAACCACACAAAGCCTTGGCCCTGGGGTAACTTTGAAATGTTTGAAGTGACCTCAGAATGTGAAGCAATGGCTGGAGGGAGAAAATTACCAGCAAGACTTGAAGTTTTTGTCTCATATTGATCATTTTAAATGTTCATTGTGAATCCTCTGAGTTGTCAATGCGGCGCCCGCCGCCCAATCTGCTAGTTACATATATGGTCCGATTATGTACTCTGGATGATCATGCATGTGGATTCCACTTATACAAAAACATGTATGTAAGATCGAAGGGTTCATGAAAATGGCAACCTTCTGATCAATTTAACTTTTATAATTCGGTATAAAGAAAGCCCATTTTTGACCAGCTCATCCTGATTCCCTCTCTTGATCTATAATTACATATTATTATCTTCGGACCCTTTAAAGCTCATCCATACATCATGTCTTATGATCAAGTCCAATCCTATGTTTTCCTACCTAATTATATCCTTGAATACGTTGTTGGTGAAGAGAAGCCTAGGATTGATCCCGACCTCTTTATAACCAAAGCCACTCCCTCTCAAATTGTGGAGGTGATCATAGCTTTTTATCCTCATCTCCAATTTACTGAAAATGCACGCCACGACCATGAGCTCCTCTTGAAGATTTTCATCGAAATGGTTGCCCCACGTCTATCTAATTTAGTCTCCTCTTTCAATTGCGAACAGAGCTATGTTCAAGCAGTATTCGAAGCCCCCATTTACATATCTTCGCAATCTACCAGATGGGTCAACTCCAGTGCGGATATCGATACCAAACGAATCGGAGAATTTGAAGCATACGGTCTCCAAAATTTTAAGAACGGGAACTATCGTCTTGAAGCCGAAGGATTAAACTCAAACTTTCTCCGGAACTACAAGTTTCTGAAGAAAGAAGAGATTGATGAAATCTCGCACGTTGAAACTGAAGCCATTGAGGCCCTTCAAGAGACTTTACACCTTATTCGAGATTCCCACGAGTTGATCGAAAGTATCCAGTTTCGTCTGTGTCAGCCTAAACTCTCACGAAAGGAACATGAAGACTTTGAGGAGCGGTTAAAAAGTGCAAATACTTCATTAAAATTACGTCAGGAGATGTTTAATACCGCGGTTCGAGATGTTGAATTCATCACTGCGTTTATCAAGCATCATACGTAAGCTATTCATAACACCAAATGGCATGATCATTCCCGATTTACCTTTCATTA